GCACCTGCAGGCACCCAGCAACGTGAATTGTGGCTGGGAAAATCTCTCATGTAAATAGGCAGCACGGAGGGAGAAGGGGCATTAGTGTAGCATTAGGAGGGGTGGAATGTGCAGGAAAGAGGGACAAGAATTGATGAGCAGCTTTGGAGGAGATGCATTCTTTGGGGCAAGACTGAAAGCTGGTGAGTGGCTGGAAGACCTGCTTATGGCAGGGAGGGTGCTCCCAAAGGTGAGGCAGCATCCAGCTGCTGCCAGATGTTCTTAGGGTGGTGGCTATGTCTGCATTGCTCTGTTGGCCTATGGGGCAATAGTCTTAGACTGTGGGAGATCCCAGGGAGGTTCTTGCCTGGTGTGTTTGTTGGGAACGTGCTGGATGGATAGGGCTCTGTCTTACCCTGGAGGACATGGAAGTCACCTCCTGGAGCCACCGTGTCCCCAGCACTGCTTCCCGAACACCCTGAGACTTCAAGGATGCTTTGCATTAGGGCGTTTGGATCAGCTTTGTCCTCTTTCTAACACAAAAGTGAAGCCCCAGGGCTGTTATCTCCCTGTGGTATTTTCAGCCCAGCCTGCGGTGCATCACCAGCTTTCATTTTAATTAAGGCAAACCTCAGCATCATCAGCTGACTTGCTTATGTCTCACCTCTGGCTTCACCCGCTGTCTTCTCCTCCCCTGTGGTGAGAGGGGCATTCAGTCTTGATGTGAGGCAGCAAAAACAAGACGTCTTCCCTCCTCGACTCATTAATTAAAGCCACAAATTGAGCTCTTTTCTTGCAATCTGAAGTGATCACATAAATAGCATTGACAGAACAAAATTAACATCTGAAAAAATCCTGCAGGGTCAGCACGTCAGGGGTGTGGGGGGAGGGGGCATTAAAAACAAGATGCTGTTCTGCTCATCTCCAGCACAGAGCTCAGCCTGGACATGGAAGAAGTCACAAAGTGTAGGCAGCGCAAGACCTCTACTTTCTACAGCCAAGCCTGGAAGGTAAATGGAGGAACTGATCTAGGTGGGGTGGCTGCTCCTTCTCAAGACCGTGTACAGCCCTGCAGACGTGCCTGGGGGAAGAGCTGGGTCTAGCCATGTGAACCTGGACTGTTTCAACCCAAGGAGTGGAAGGTGGACCATCTCAGCCCCAAGGAGTGTGAAGGCACAGTGGGAATGCCAGCAATCAGTGCCAGGGAAAAGCGAGAGGACTGGGAGAGGGTCCTGATCTCCTCCCAGGTCTTCATCTCCATCATCACCCATGCCATCACAGCCGTTGCTCCTCATCACCTTATGAGAAATCAGCAAAACTCCAGAGTGCATCTGCATGTAGAGTGCCAGGATCCCTTGTGATTAATGGTTTTTTTGGTGTGTTTTGCATCCTCCTGTGCTGGGAGGTGTCTACAGGAAGCCTCGTGCGGGGCTTGCCCTTGTTCTTGGGCACAATTCTTGCCTGATCTTTGCTTTGCATGTGGTTGTATTGGCAGAGACATGATGGGAACGCTCTGGAAACGCTGCATTGTGGTCACGTTGAGATCTCTGCATCATGGGTGCATGCAAAAATATCTGCCCCCACCCTGAGAGGGCAGTTGAAGTGGCCCCTACTGCTCATCACAAACTGCCAGCAGTTAATCCCTTTGCCTCAGTGCATTTGTGGTTGCATTCCAAAAGCAAATTCATCAGGACTCATTCATCTGAATGAGTGTCCATGGGGATGCTTGCAGGCTGCGTCCATTCTGAAATAGTATGGGAAGAAGGGGAGAGTAACTCCCTCCATCGGGAACCCACAGTGCCTGCTGACTGTCCTGGCAGGAGCATGGGGATGTGTAATGAGAGCTCTGCTCCTTGCTGAAAGGGGATGGGGCACTGTCAGGAGCTGCAGTGAAGGCAACAGGCTTAGTTTTCGTGCAAGATACTCTTTCGGGCAAACCCAAATATCACAGCTGGCCTGAAGTGATTCACTTAACATTTTCCTTCCTTCTTACGGCTTGTCTGCACACGCAGAGCTAAATCCAGAGCTGCTGCAAGCCCAGTAAAACCCACAGCACAGGCAGCATCCACACGACACCACACTGGAGAGCTTCAAACCCACACCCAGACAGCTTGTGGAATCCCAGCTGGACACTTCCCTGTACAACCTGCTGTCACAGGGGGTTGGCCTTGAGCATTTCCAGAGCATTTCCTTGAGCATTTCCTGAACTGGGAGGTGAGTTCAGTGGCACAACGTTGTGCCATCACCCCAGTATCCAGTCTGAGGCATAAGGGTTGCAAAACTCACTGTCACTGTTCCCATAAACCAAAACAGCCCTTTTTGTTTTTTCTCTTTGTGCTACATCTCTCCCATCAAAACAACGCCTGAACTTCTGTGCTATATCACCATAAAAATCTTGACAGCTGTTCTAGCAAACAGCCTGGAGTGCTGCGGTCTTTTATGAGTATTAATTATGTTAAGCAAAGCAGATCTCACAATTACATTGTCTGTGGGAGCAGCAAACTTCTACCATCCGTCTCCCTGAGCAAGGAGGTGAAGGGCTGTTTGCTGCCCTGCTTTCAAAGTGGTGGGGGCTGCAGCTGCTGTTAGGGAGAACACGGTGACAGCCCAGAGAAGCTCCTTGTTCCTCCTGCTGTTACCACAAATAACTTTCTTGATGTGCTTGACATGTCATCAAGTGCTCCTGAGCGGCCTCTTCTTTTGAATAATAATAAAGAACCACATTGCTGGTCTAGTCTGGATGCGATATGTGCTACCAGCAGTTTTGGAAAGCCAGGATCTACATGTGGATCCAAGCTGGGAGAGGTTAGATGGGGAAAAAATGGGACGGCTGGCAACCACTGTGCTGGGAAGGAGGGTTTGGGGTTGTTGATTAAAAGAAAGGGAGGGTAAAAATGTTGCTTTTTGGTTTGGGGGGAATGGCAGGGCTAGCTGTGATGCGCAGAAGGAAAGAGTTCGGTGACCGTTGGTGGCAATTTTGAGATCATCCACCACTGCCTCCTCTTCCTCTGACTTAGCCAAGATGCTGTGGTTTTTCCCTTTCCCAGCCCCTCTGAGAGAAGGGCAGCATCCTAAGGAGGTCCTTGACAGGTCCTTTCTGGATCAGTAGGTCAAGAGGTCAGAGGTGCAAGTTACTCATGTTTTATCACCATTATGCAGACAGCCTGTCCTTGGCTGAGACAGGCAGATCCAACCCCAAAGCAAGCGGTCTGGGGAGCTCAGAGGTGATGCTTTCAATGCATCCTCCTCATCAGCCTCCCCTTTGTATCACAGCCGTTCGTGAATCCTGGGCTGGCTGCTGGAAGGCTGGAGGACTTCACCCACACCGAGTTGACTGTTGGCACTGTAGATCTGCCGTGGTTATGCTGCAGGAGAGAGATCTGTTTGGAAATGCATGTCAGTGTTGGATCAGCGTTGGATGCTCAGATGATGTGATTAACAGGATGCTGCAGGGCAGCAACAGAGAAAACGATCTTCCTCTTTCCTTGTCACCCTAATTTTCAGAGGAAGTGTTTTGTTTAAATGTAGGGTTTTTTCTCTGGGAGAGCAGAGCAGGCTGTTGTTTGGAGCCTGCCCATCCTCACATCCCTGACGCTGGCAAGTGACCAGAATGTCCCATCAAAGAGGTGCAGGCACGTACTGCAGCTTTAAATACAACCAGCTGCAATTATTGGCCTTTCCATTGCATTTGACCCAGACTTTTAGCAGCAGAAAATGAGCCTACCTGATGGAGGATCCTGCTCGGATGTCATAACACAGCAGCATCCATCAGGCTTCATGAAGCAGAGAATTAACATCTGTTGGAACTGCAGCAGCAGCACAGCCAGACACCCTGAAGACATGGGGAGAAATGACGGTTTTGAGGGGTTGCTGGAAAACAACGCAGCTGAGTGCACAGCTATTGCAAAGGAGTCTTCCTGCAAGACCAAAACAGGGTTAGGTCCCTCCTTGCACTTCCCAGGTCAAATAAGGAGGAGTAATTGCAGTGAAAAAATGGGATGCTTAATCGATACCACCGAGCGCTGTGTTTATCAGCAGATAACGTGCAAAGCAGGGGTCTTGTGAACAATAAAGTATGTTTGATCCCCTGGTGTTTATGGCCTGGAGGATGAGTGAGGAAGCCTCGTGTGGCCAGCAGAGGCTGACCTGCCTGCAGCTGTGATACAAGGTTGACCAAGAAATGCCAAATTTTGGTGCAGGCATCATCAGGGACTTATTCCTCGGGCTGTTGTACTGGCTTTGTTAACTTGAACGTGAAGGAGCTGAGGTAAAACGGAAGAGGCATTTATTAAAGGGGGGGAGGTCACTTAAACATGGACAAAATTCACGCACCACTCACCACTCATCTTTTAAGTGCCTCCCATGCACGAGGAGAACAGATTAAAAATCATGGCCCGCCAAGGAGTGACATTTTGGAGCAATAATTTAAGCCACCGGGCACTGCAGCGTGTTCTTGCTTCCTTGATACTTTGTGTGTGACCACCCCAATTTGCTGGCACTGGTGTTAATTCATGATATCGTAGAATCGTAGAATCCTAGAATCACAGAAGGTTGGTTGGTTTAGGAGAGTCCTCAAAGCCCACCAGCCTCAACCCCTGCCATGGGTAGGGATACCTCCCACAGATCAGGCTGCCCACAGCCCCATCCAGCCTGGCCTTGGGCAGTGCCAGGGACAGGGCAGCCACAGCTTCCCTGGGCAGCCTGTTCAGTTTTATCTGGGAGATGAGTTGATTTGGTGAACCCGATGCCATAAATCACCTGTGTGTTCCAGCACTGGGGCTCAGGATGCAGGATGAGTGGGCTCTGGTCCTGTCCATCAGCACGGGATCGCCGGGTTACAGCAGCAATGCTTGTCCTCGCGGTCTTGAAGCCAAACCTTGGGATAAAGTGGCACTAAATGAATGCGCAGCCAAAAAAGGGAGATAAACCAACTTCATTGAATTAAATATATAAAATAATAATAATAATAATAATAATGAGGAACGTGTATTCATTTCTACGATGTGCCTGTGTTCCCACAGGTCCCAACTGCTTCGCAGGAACCACCATCATCCCCGCGGGCATTGAGGTGAAGGTGGACGACTGCAACATCTGCCACTGCCACAACGGGGACTGGTGGAAGCCGGCGCAGTGCTCCAAGCGCGAGTGCCAGGGCAAGCAGTCTCTGTAGCAGCAGAACCCCTCACTGCCACCGCGAGCACGGCTCCAACGCGTCCCAGCTCCTCCAGCTGCTGCAGGGTCACCACCGAGGCCACCGGGCGCTCGTGGAGGGACAGGGTTTCCCTCCCTGCCTTCTTGCTTTCGGCCCCACGTACCCAGCACCTAGGTAGCTGCTCCGCTTTCGTGATTATCGGCGCTCGGTAGGGATTCCGTGGTGAGATGTGGAGGGGGAAGAGAAGAGAGAACGCAACGTACTGCGCAAGCTCTTTGACTGGCGATGGCTGCGAGGCGCCGCTTCGCTCACTGCTCTCACTTCCGACGGCGCGGATCGCGGTTTTCCACGGTCATTTCTTTTGCTGTTGTGATTTATTTATGACAACTTTTTTAAGCCGAAGCTGGGATGGTCGGGGCAATACAGCTATGAGCGAAGCAGCGGGCGGTCTCCGTGGTGTCTGTGGGGGGGCACTAAGGACAGGAGGGGGCATGGGCCAGCAGCGGGGATGGGGCTGAGCCCGACGCTGGGTCTGTGCTGACCTTCCCCACCGCGTGGGGACAGCGATGCTGAGGATGGGCACCTCGAGCTTGTGGCCTTGTCCTCGCGAGGACATCAAGAGCACGGCGTCTTACCCAGGTCGGAGAGCAGTGGTGTTTCCCCGCAGCTCCTGTGCTGGGGGCCGGTTGCTCTCCCTCTGATTCACTAGTACTGTGCCAGTCACCGCTCACACTTAGTTTGCTGCTTTTTGCCCATTGCCATTAGGATGAGGGTGGTTATTTCGGTCAGCCTTCAGCCTGGCACCTGCTCTTAGCAGCGACGATGGCAAATCCAACCAGCACATGCATTGAGGCGGTCTCGGTTGGTGCACAGCTGCCTTGGTATTTTCATTTCTTCTCTGTTTTGTGTTTCAGCAGAGGGCAGATCCTTAGCTGGGGTGGGACGAGCACAGGTGCAACCGCTGCTGTGCTTGGGCTGAGGATGTTCTCCCTGCTGGCACCACAAACAAAGCCATTGTCACCTTGGTTTGTCAGCTGCTCTCTGCCGATGACCATCCATCCCTTTTCAAAGTTTTCAAACAATAGCGTGCCTGAAACTAGTGAGGGAGAAACAAAAAAGCCTATTCTGTAAAAAAAAAAAAAAGAAAAAAAAAAAAGAAGAATTCTAGAAACAATGTGTAAAAAGATATATTATTAAAAAATAATTATTTTGTTAAATATAAAGTGTGTGAACCAGCAAAAAAGCCCTCTATATCTGTGGTGTATTTTCCTCTGCTGATTTCCCTGCCCCAGTTCCCCACTTTGCCATCACATCACCTGCAGCTCCAAGGCCCTCCCCTCAACCTCCTCGTGCTCTCTTCCTTTCACTGGTGCCGTTTGATATTCAGCCCCGTGTCCCAAATGTGGGAATTTGCTTTCCGTTCACAAACTCCTTTTGCTACCTCCAGATGCATCATTATTTACACTGATTAGTAGTTACTCTAATTAATTACAGCTTAATTACTGTAGTTGATGTTTGTACAGTGCTTGGAACAAGTACGGTGCTATACGTGCCGCATATTATTATTTTCTCCATTATTAATTAAACACCATCAACATTCCACGCCGTGCTTCTCCATTATTTTCTGAGAGGCAGGGCAGCACCCGTATTCCTGCCCAGAAGGACCTCACCCAGCTTCCCATGGGAAGGCCATGCAATTTGTGCTCCAGCTATGGCAAGATGGATCACTGATGTCAGTGGGCACCTCGGTGCTTGGAGCAGTACCCAAAATCTTCGTCGCTGGTACAGCCAGTCTGAAGCCTGACAGAGCATATCCAGAATGGAAATCCCATCCAGCTCTCTGCTTTATACTTTTTTTTTTTTTTTTTTTTAACACATAACCTGTTTATTTCCAAAGAATTTCAGCCTCATCTCAGTCTTTCTGCCTTTCTTTTTTTTTTTTTCCTTCGCGTTTTAGTTCATTTCTTCCTTTAATTAATCACAGCTCTGGGCCAGCCAGACCCATTAACTACTATTCTCATTTAGACCTTTCAGAGATGCGGTTGCAGATGCAATTTAATTTGTTGACCCATGATCGATAGCAATTAATGCCATCTCTTTAATCTTGTTGGAAGGTTCATCTTGGGCTTCCAGAGGCTGCTGTCTCAAGGGAAAGGTGTCTGAAACATATGTTATTAGATGGAGAAGCACATCCTTTCCAGTCCTTCCCATTCCCCAAGGGCTGATGCTCAGGGGTAGCTTTCAAAGCACCCAATTTCAATAGAACTGTGCTCAGAGCTGCACACTATATTCAATAGGGATGCATGACAGGGGCTGTTAAGGTGGTATATCTCCAAAGCCCAGCACGTGCACGCTCGTTTTTAAGGACATCTGTCACTACGGCAGTGTTGGGTTCTAAAGACAGGTGGGTGGGTGGGTGGGTGGATGGATGGGTGGATGGATGGAAGGATGGAAGGAAGGAAGGGTGGAAGGAGGAATGGGTGGAAGGGTGGAAGGAGGAATGGGTGGGTGAGTGGGTGGATGGATGGAGGGATGGAGGGATGGAGAGATGGAGGGATGGAGGGATGGAGGGATGGAGGGATGGAGGGGTGGAGGGGTGGAGGGGTGGAGGGGTGGAGGGGTGGGTGGATGATGACCAAATAATGTCTCTGCTCCATAACAGCTGAACTGACTATGGTTAGAGTGGATGAATTTCGCTGGGGAAATACAAGATGCATTCATGAGAGAGCGGAGCCGAGAATTAGGTGGATTAAGGGAAAGGTGGTAAGGGATAGAGAAGAGCATGGACTTGGTGGAGGAGAAAGCTGACAAAGGTGGTGTAAATGGATTGGAAATAGGAAGGGCATAGAGGACAGAGTTAGGAATGATTCATTCTAATAGACATGGATAGAAAAAGGTGAATAAATCTCTTGAAAGGAAAAAGAGAAGAGTGAGGTCTTAGTGGTGATACTTTCAGCATGATAAGTAGACATACAGAAGTAAAGAGGGATTGTGAGAATGCTTCCCCTGGGAAAAACTGCAGGAGCATTGGCAGGGAAACCCCAGCTGCAGTGAAACAAGATTAATTCCTCCACACTCCAGTGAAAGCAGTCTTATCTCTACACCACTTGCATGTCATCACCAGGCACAAGTCCTTCTCCCCAGCTAAGAGACATCCAAAACCAAGCTAAACCTGGGAAGAACTGAGCTTTGGGCACCCTCCATGCAGGTCCACACGGTACCAGGATGCTGAGCACCAACAGCATACAATGGCTGCAGCAGCATGACTTGAGTCCTATTTGACACAACCCTCCCCGTCCCAGATGTTGCAGCTGCAGGGAAGCTGTGGCCACTGCAGCAGCAGTCGTAGCTCTGCAAAATGCAAAGCCAAAGAGCAAGACCTCAGCCTCCAGCACAGCAGGAGCCATCATGTGCTTCCCTTCACTGGCTGCTGAAGGCCTGTGTGAATGTATAGCAAATGAATGCCTTTTATATAGCAAAACTATATGTTTTTGCAACAGCAATTCAGTACAGAAAATGATAAATTTATCAGAAATAGGTCTAGCGTGGAAGGTTAGCTCTTAAAACACAGGGAACAGAACAATAGCATATTGAAAGGAAGAGCCTGCTCTCCTATATTAAACTTACCATACATATACTTACATTTGCAGATGCACTTCTTACATTTTCTGAAGGGATTGGCCGGTGGGGAGCATCTAAAAGAGCATCTAAATGAACTCTGCTTCCAAATGTTCCTGCCTGCTGACACTGAAACGGGGAGAATACACACTAGCTCTGATATCCCATAATGTAGCCCAGGGGTCCATAATAATTCACACGAAAATGATTTTTGGCCTTACTGTGCTTTATGTGCATAACCAATGCAAGGCACATGAAAATAACCCATTGCCAGCACGCTTCTGGACACAAGACGTGTAAGCCCAGGAAGAGAAGTAATTAGGCACTCGGACACTGGAAGGTAAGGCAAATCCAGTAAGTCCAGCGGCTCTGGGATAGCGCAGGGAGAGGTGGTTCTCTCCTCACCAAGGCTGGGGTGGGCTACCTATGTGCACAAGAGACCTCAGCCTCTGGACATACAGCCAGCTTGGTGCCATCACTGTTGGTTCAACAAGGGAAGGGCAGAGCATCTTCTCTGAGGGAGCTCATACCTCTGATCACACCGCTTCCCCTGGGGCAATGTTAGTCACAGCTTGAAGGTCACAGCTTGTTGCAGTGATTGAGCACCTGGTGGGAAGGCAGGGCCAAGCCAAGGGAGCTCAGGTGTATGCAATGTACTGAGTGATTGGAAGGGGAGGAACCAGGATCCACCCCTTTCCAGCCCTCATTTAAGGCTTGGCAGTGGAGGTGAGAGTGTGTCTCTGGAGGTCTCTGCATACTTTTGGTCTTCTAAAGGTAAGTAACTTTTCTTACTTTTTCTTCTGTACTGTGTCTGTAGCTGCTGCTTTTGGGTTTGTCCTCATTTGTTGTAGCCTGGGACTTTGTTACACTGCTATTATTGCTGTTTCTGTCACATTATAGCTTTATACTTAGCAAGCCAGGCAGGTGCTCATTTACAATGGATTATCTTTAAAAAATAAATAAAAGTTATGCGTTGGATGGTCACTGGGACCCCAAATACACCAAAAGAGGAACTCCCCAGGGAAAATCTGGATTCTCCATGGCTATGTACCATACAGATTATTGAAGAATGGGAGCCAGTAAGGGACAGTGGTGTCTTCACTAAATCCCCTTCAAAAATGGCTTTTTGAATATATAAGACAAAACTTATTGACAGCTGAGGAAAGAATAGTAGCAGCAGCCACCTTGCCATGGTGGATGCTGCTGGCTGGCTATCTTGCCATGTATATCATTCCTTGGAGGAAGAATTGAAAGGTGAAACTGAAGTTTTAAAGGCCTGTATTAGACAAATGGTTGTAAAACTATATCTTTGACAGAGCTAACTGCCTTCCCTTTAACTGGATTTTCCCCTCTGGAATTAAGACCAATATAATTGAAGGGGGTAAGAACTTAGGTAAGCAGGATCCTTGGTTCCTACTTGAATCGAAGAGTAGAGAAAGCCAAGCAGACTAAAGCCTAGCTATACTGACTTACGGACCTCAATGGAAGAACTCCAAAATTACGTCAGAGAACTAGGAATGAAGAAGGGCACTCAAGAATCCATCCCTTTTTGGCAGGAATGAAGGACCTCCTAGTACAACAAGCTTCTCCCCCGCCAATATGGCACATGGGTGTCCATACTGAATCCCTTAATGGCCTCAGAGGCCATCATCTAACAAGCCACCTAATTGGTGGCTGATCTAGGAGAGACAGCCAGCACCTTTGGATCAGGTGCAAAATCCAAGTGTTGGAAGGGGCAGAGGTCCTCCTCTGGTTATGAAAACCAGACCTGCCCCATGGGCTCCCCAACCAGGACCCATAAGCATGTCTTGGAAGCAGATCTTTAATGACTTAATCTCAGCTTGGGTTTGATTTGCAAAAATTCATCACCTGTCCAATCATGTTTTCCTCCCACTTTGGAAGCTATTGGAGGAAAATCAAAAGCTTCAAAACATCCTCCCCCTAAAAACAGAGGTGAGAATTACTGGAAAAAATACTAGTAAGAACATTGAACTTGGAAGATTTTTTTAGTTCCCAATAAAAGGAGGAAACCTCCTGAAGTGACCCAGGCCGCTATTGTCCCAGTCCTGGAATAGATTGTGGGCACAGATATATTATGGGATCTAACATTCCAGCTGACAGTAAGAGAGCTTAGACTGAGAGACAGATGAATTTGTATCTGGACTGTGTGGGTGATGTTAAGAGGCCACGCAAAACTTGAGCCTATGTGCTTGCCAAATCTATGCTGGATTACTAACACTAAATAGTACAGGTTTCTGGAGTGCAAGAGGAAATGTCAAGAATCAGAAAAAGTAGAGATCATAAGACTTGCACATCTCTTACTGTCCCCATAAGGACAGTACAGAAGTCAGATGGCACATGGGGAGTGACAGTAGATTGCAAAGAATTAAATATGGTCACGCTGCCCATTCATGCAGCTGTACCCAAATTTGCATCCGTGTTGGACACATTGAGTAGGGATATAAGAAACATACCATTGCGTCCTAGACTTGGAATATGCAATCTTCAGTATTTCCATTCACGAAGGCACAAGATCAGTTTACGTTTACATGGGGAGGCAGGCAGTGGACCTTTAGGTCCTGCTGCAAGGGTATGTGCATTCACCAACCTATTGCCGTAACGCAGTGGTGTGTGATTGGAACAATCCTAGTAACATCAGACTGCTTTATTGATGACTTAATATTGACATCTGACTCCCCTGTTGTTGTTTCAGGTAGGCAGTGATGATATAGGAAGAACTTCCTCAAACACTATGAGAAAGGACTTTGGAGCCTTGGAGTGACAGGTAAAGGGTTCAGGAGCACAGGTTGTGTTCTCCTCTATCCCTCCAGTTATAGGGAATGATGAGGGACTAAATATGATGGGCCACCAGATCAATACCTGGCTGCAAGCCTGATGTGCCCAGCAGGGTTTTGGGCTCTTTGACCTCTGCTCTGTTTGCACGAGACCAGGCCTGCTGGCAACCAATAGGAGTAGCTTCTCCCACCAGCAGAAAGGGGTCTTAAGATGGGAGTTGGGAAGGTTCATTGATAGAGCTTTAAACTAGGTCTGAAGGGAGGATGAGGATGTAGCTGGGGTCACTAGAGCCTGTATGTACTGTCCCATTGCTTGTAGGAGAGGGATGTGCTTGTAAGATCCCCACAGTCTTGTGTCTTGGTGAGGGAGGAGGATGGCTCACACTTCTGTTGAAAGAACACGAGGGTTTGTGTGAGGTTGGTGGCTGTGGAAGCACCTGAGTATGGTCATGAGGATGTTAGGACTGCCACTACTCAAAAGGAGGCTCATCTCTGGTGCCTTTACACTAATGCATGCAGCGTGGGTAATAAACAGGAGGAGCTGGAGGCCGTTGTGTAGTAGCTATGATAGAGTTGCCATCACAGGAATGAGGCGGAATGACTCGCACAGCTTGGAGTGCTGTGATGGTTGGCTACTGACTTATCAAAAGAGATAGGCAAGGCAGGAAAGATGGTGCTGTAGCCTTCTATGTTAAGAAATAATGTGAATGTATGGAAATCAGTGATGGTGATGATAGGATTGAGAGCTTATGGGTCAGAATAAAAGCAAAGGCCAGTAAGACTGATATTAACATGGGAGTCTACTATAGGTCACCCAACAAGGATGAAGAGGTGAACAAGACACTTTACAGGCAGTTGGGTGAAGTCTCAAGGTCAATCCCCTTTGTTCTTTAAGGATCTTCAACTTCCTAGACTTCTGTTGGATATAGCAGATAGGGAACAATCCTAGAGGTTCTGGAGTGTGTGGAAGATGGCTCCTTCACCAGCTGTGTCAGGAAGCTAATGAGGGGAAGCAAAATCCTGGACCTGCTGTTTCTTAAGAGTGAAGGACTTGTGGGGGATGTAAAGGTTGGAGCAAAGTGATCATGAGATGCCAGATTTCCTGTTTCTTGTTGAACCATGGAAGGGAGTCAGCAGAACTGCCACCTTGGACTTCTGGAGGACAGACCTCTTTAGACTACGAACAAGAGGGTCCCTTGGGAGGAAATTTTGGAGAGCGTGGGAGCCCAGGAAGGCTGGGAATACTTTAAGGAATTGACTTTAAAGGTGCAGGAGCTGACCATCCCCAAGTCACGGAAGACAAGCCAATGGGCAAGGGGGCCACACTGGCTGAACAGAGACTTTTGGGTCGAACTCAAGAACAAAAGGTAAGCTTATAGTCTCTGGAAGAGTCCGTGAGCTACTTATGATGTTTACAGACACGTAGTGAAGCAGTGCAGGGAGAAAATTAGAAGAGCTAAAGCCCACCTAGAATTGAGTTTGGTCACTAAGGTAAAGAACTGATAGTTTAGGTAGGGTTACAGGAAACGCTTCTTTACAGAAAGGGTTGTTAAGCACTGGAATAGGCTCCCCAGGGAAGTGATTGGGTTTAAAAACCATTTGGATGTGGTGCTCAGGGACACGACTTAGTGGAGGGTTGTTTTTATAGTTAGGGTAGTATGGTTAGGTTCTGGTTGGACTCGATTTTTAAGGTCTTTTTCAACTCGATTCTATGACTCATTAGAGGCATTAGGAATGGAAGTAGATTCATTGACTACTCGCTTACAAGAGGGTGGGCTGTAAACCCACAGAAGGTGCAAGGATCAGGCTTGTCAGTGAAATTGCTGGGTGTAGTTTGGTCAGGAGAGATCAAAGTACTACCCAGTGAGATAACAGTCAAGATTCAGGTGTTCCCAGTCCCTACAGTGTGAAGGCAGCTGCAAGAGTTTGGGGTATATTGGGATACTGGCATTCCTTTATACCTGACTTAGCACAGCTGCTGAGGTCTTTGTGTTGACTCAGGCCAAAAATGAGACTGGGAGAGAACACACAAGAGCTGTGTGGATGTTTATATTATATTAATAATATGTATTTATATAAAAATCAAGAAACCCAATTATGGTATCCTGAATATAAGTGCAGCTAGCTGGGCTGTGTACCAGGGGCTCACTCTTTGGGTTGCACAGTGGAACCCAGGGATGGACTATGCCCAAGATTGGTCAGAAGAGATATCTCATTAGACATATGGTAGACATGTACAACCCTGCGTTTAACCATGTTCCTTATTTCTGGTCTACCAGCCCCTACGCTCACCAGGAAATGATGATGCTGGCACACTGGCTCAAGTTGAATGCACTGAGGATTCGCCATCTGAGAACATCACCTGCTGGTTGTATCAGAAGCTGTGGCATGCTGGACAAAAGACAATGTGGGCAGCTGCTAAAGTGTGGGTGCTGCCTATACAACTGTATGATACCATCCAGGCATGCTGAGACTGCAATGCTTGCTCTAGGATGAGCCCAAGACCACAACTGGAAACAACAGCCCATCTTGCTAGTGGTCGCAATCCTCTCCAGCCATGGTGGGTCTATTACATTAGGCCCACCCCTCAGTCTGAGGGGATGAGACAAGCCCTGACCTGCATCAACACAGCAAGTGGGCTAATACAGGCCTATCTGA